TGGAGGGTTTGTGCGTGGCGTGGACCCGTTTTCTCTGAGGCTCGTTCACGCTTGGTGGCGGCCTCTGCCCGAGGGGGGCATGTTTTCACCATGTCTGTTTATCGTCCGGGTGACAGATGGTTGGGGGCAGCTGGGCAGAGCCTTCATCGCCTGATTAAAGTTTGGATGTCAGCGCAGCGCTTCGCTGGAAGCTGGCAGAGAGCTGTGGGAAAGCCCTGCCGCTCGCTGATTGGTTTTTGTGGGAAAACCAAACCTGAAAGACGACAACTTTGACGACAGACTGCAGTTTCTCCCTTAAACGTAAAAAAAACAAACCCTTGTTATGCTTGGCTCAAAGAACCAGGTGACAAGCTCTGAGCTTCTTAAAATATATCAGATTTTTCCTCCACTTTGCTCCTTTTAAAGTTACTTTAAAGTTCGTCCCTTTATTAAGTGTAGCCCTTTTCCCATGAGGTGTGTAACATGTTGTCTTTATCAGACATGCCAGTTCGAGCCACACTGCTCTACTTGTCTCTCTGAGTCACAGTTTGGATGGAAATATCAGTTCTCTGCAGCTTTAAGCTGGTTGAAGAGTCAATATTGTGCTCATGAGAGATCAACCAGTCCCAAAAAAATGCATTTTATCTTAATCTGGGCACATCTTCTCCATACTGTCGCTGCTGCTTTTCAGGGATAAGCTGCAGCAGTAAACAAAGCTTTTAAGCCCCTCGAGAGATTCGTATCGCCTTAAAAAACTTTGAGCATTGTAGTGAAGTGGTGCATGGGAGCTTTTGTATGCAGTGGGCACGTTTACATGACAAATACAACAAGTTAGACCAAAACTGCCCTTTAAAAAGAATGTAAACAAGTTGGTCTGACAGGAATTGTACAAAACCAGACAAACACACCCAGATATGCCGTTAGACATAAAATTACACACTTAACCTGACTTGAATGGGACTTGACGCTAAGCAGATCCTAAGTCATTTTCTTTTTTTAACATCATATTTGTAAAAATTCTTAGTAAAATGACAGTTTTACAAATTTTGTCACAATACTAAACAACAGTTGGACCTGAGACTGAAAGTCATCTTATGTCCGTTTGCACGCTGTCGCTCTGCTCCAATAAAAACATTTTTTTATAACCGGAACATCATCAGATTTCAGCCGTACTAACATGAGCGATGAGCTCCTACAGAGAAAGTTAAAAGCAGAAGCATGTCTTGGATGGAAAAGACAATGTTCCAGGTTCAGTGATGTCACAGAAGGATAACTGACAGACAATACAGATGTTCAGGGGAAAGACAAAGGACACACAAACCCTCACAGAGAGCCCAATTAAGTCATATTTCTGCATGTTCTTGACCTCCTGTTTAACTAATAACAACAAAGACAAATATTCTAGACATATTTCATGTTGCCGTATGCTTATTGGATCCAAATTCAGCTTGTGTGCTTCTCACTGACAGACAAGAAGCCATCGTGTGTGGAAATGGCCGCGAGCTGGTGAGTTACTGGATATTTTGGGCCACCTGATCAATTTAAGCTCCACAATAAAAAAAATTCGCATTCCTGACGCTGCAAACTGGAGAAACCCCACAAAGACGCCTTCTGAAAGGCAGTTTTGGCCTCACAGTAGACAGTTTAAGTTGTTTTTGGTGTTAATTTGTCGTTGCCTCAGACTGATAGCGGATCTGTGAGCGGGCCCGGCTAACATCAAACACACATTCCACCAATCCCGGGCCTCTTTAGTGGGACCATCTGCCAGCGGCTAACAGGTGAGTCACACCCACCGCAGATAAGCGGAGTTCGGGACACTCATTTCCCTGCATGCGATACAACTCACTCCACAAATAATGTATCTTCTGAAGTCCTCTTTTGGTCTTTTAAGAAGAGCCTTGAGAAATGCCTGCCATTTAAAATCCATTTTTAGAAAAACCAACGCTTGTAGTTTCATTATTAGGGGAAGAAGAGCTTAATTTAGGTTGTGTTAGCTGATTGGGAGCTTAGCAGCTGGTGCATGTTTGTTAGTGTTTCCTTCTGGCTCTGAAACAGCCGACACTGAAGCAGACCGATAAATCACATACGTTATTATAAAAAAGGTTTAAAGGCCTCAAAAGCAGACCCCTATTTCCTTACATGATCTGAAGAGAACATGAGCTAATATCTAAACAGGGAGTGGCCAAAGCAAGCAGTGAAGGAAAAACCCTCCCAGAGGAAAAAAATTTAGAATCGTAATTATAATGAAGCATCAGAGCTGAAGTATGACATAAAAACAAGAGTATCTGTTGTGCTTTGTGCTAAATGCTCACATCAGCGTGGGAAAGCAGAGGAAACCATGTGAACCTTAGGATTATATTTGATTTTCTGCGGCTCGCCAATTTTTAGTTCTAGTCATAAAAACGGAGTCATGAAACAAAGGTGCTTTCAAGCTCGAATCCACATACAAATGTGACATACGTGAAGGTATCAAAGGAGTAAATAACTGCAAAATGGTTATCTTGATGTAATGTCTCAAGCTGGAAGAAGAAATAACCCCAGAACACTCAAAATTTGTGTTTCATCTGTCGGTAAAAAGGAAAAAGTTGTTTTTAAATATTATCCAATGCAGCAGGGATCTTTAAAGATCCACGTTTGCGTACCTCTGCTTTGTTCTGCTCTGCGTCTGTGGGGTCCTGCGGCCGAGATCCGGCCGGATCCTCCTCCATGCTGACCAGCTTCAGCTTCAGGTAGCTCACCTCGTCCATCAGGTCCAGCTTCTGGGTCTCCAGAGAGGTTCTGCTGATCAGCTCCTGGGGATATAAAACCGGCCAATGGGAACCTGCCCGTGCTTTTACAGGCAGAAAGCCGAGCGCCTGCAGGTGTCTGAGACCAGAGTCTCCGCTCCGAACAAAGTTCTTCCCACACTAACGGAGCAGGCCGGCCGGGGACCCAGACCCCATGAAGCTAAATATACACACACACACACACTACAGACTCTATTAATACATCCCCTATGCTGCTTTGGTATGGGAGAGAGGAAAAGAAAGCACGTCTAAAAAAGAGAGAGATAAAGAACATGGACCCGCGTGACATCAAGAACATTTTGTTTTTGAGTCACGACTCTTTGCCAACTCCGTTACTTTCAATTCCTCATACAAACTCCTCCCAAATGCTTCTTCTTTTCCAAACTTCCTTTATTAAAACTTCAGGAAACCAAAAGAAATAATCTCAGTCCAAACAGTTCAACCTCCGCTATGGTCGTTCTCTGACCAGTTTTCCACTCTGATTTTTTTCTCATAGTTATCAGGATGACCATTGAAACACTGATTGTAGTTGAACAGACTTTACGAAAGTGGTAAATATTGACCATGATGTGTTTCTGGGCTACTGAGGTAGATTCCACATGTTTCTCATTGAAAAGATTGTAAGATTGGATCCCTTCTCTGTGCAGTAGTTGTTAGATGATTTCCAGGACAAAGAAGAAATAACATCCCTACTTAAATCCCAGACAGAAAAGTAAAATAGTCATTGGTGTCCTTTTTAAAGACAAACGTTGACTCATTTTGTCTAGCTTCAGGACTTGTGAGCAATTAAAAAGAAAATCATATCTCCATTATCACTTCATCTTTTAAACAAACCAAGCTCCTAACGCTCACAGTGGGACTTCATGAAGGCTTCCCATGTTCAAAAATTCACTGTCAAGACATTTCTTGACATCTGAATCCGATTTGGAAATCTCAAAACTTACATTGTGCCAATGATCTCAAGCCATCAACACTAAGAAAGTTAGAAGACCTTTAATGGATGGGCTTACATCAACCTATCTTCATGGATCGTTTGTCTAAGCGAATTTTAAGAAAAAAAAATAATGATGCTGATGATTAGGACACGTTACATCACCTCTGATGTCTGTAGAAATACCAGCTAAAAGATCCCCCCCAACACAGTAACTGATGGTATGTTAGCACCACGACCGCCTTTGGTGTCCAATGAAAGCTCTAGAAGTCCACTCTGTGATCTCAGAGGGACACCAGTTCTCCCTGTTTGGTAACAGCATATGGAGAACAGACTGTGTCGGCAGACAGACGACTAAACCCCCGTAATCGCTCCGGCCTGCCTGCCAAGCCGTGCACAGCCGCGCAGATCCGCTTCGTTAAGGCAGCTGACCGTCACTTTGCAATCCAACACCGGTGTCGCTTACAGGGGGATAAGCCCAGCTGCCCCACATTTGCGCTCCTTCAATTAGGAGACGCAACACGTGACGACTTATCATCTCCATTAGGGCACTTCTAAGTCCTTTTACAGAGGCTGCAGTCATCTGCAAATAGAGCCGAGTTAAACCTGACGGCCAAGAGAGTTTTGAGTGTGGGTCACTTTTAAAATAAGCACTGAACATAATCAGAATAGTAGAAGAGAAAAAAAACATGACATACAGCTAATAAAAATGGTCAAAAGTGACAGATCCAGACTCTTTTGGGGCTTTTCCATCAGAAACTGTAGCATCTGGTGGGCAGCTGGATGCTGATTGGCCGGGGAGTTGAGTCGAGAAACAACCAGGAGGTTCAAATAGCGCCAGACGCCAAAGGGCGTCCACAGGAAAGCCACTGAATGCTTTTCGCACTCGTTCCCGGTCCAGTCTGACCAATCCCAGAGTTTTCAGAGGGGTCCGTGACCCTTTTTCCCTCAGCCAAGGCAAATCCAAAGGGAAGTGTATTCCGATAGTTTAAACAAACTGAACCATTTATCAATGAATTCAAACGGGTCAAGTGTGAATCTCTGGCTGGAGTAAAAAAATGGAGGATGGCTGAATCGTGCATCTTCCATGAATAAAACCAGCTCCCAGATGTGGGAGGAGCCCTTCCATTTTCCCTCTTTCGTTCTCATTAAACGCCAACAGCGATTTGGACCATGAGCTCAGCACTGGTCTGTGTGGAAACATCTCGCACGGCTTTCTGAATGGAGCCTCAGATTCATCCAGCAGAAGCGTTTCACTCCAACTATAAAGAAAGGGAGAGTGGTGGAATGCGTATCCATCTCCAGTCTGAGCCACGGCTTTTTCATACATATAAAGTAAAAATGGCATTTAATTTTTTTTATGTAAATAAGATTTAAATAAACTGTAACAAACAACACAGACCCGTCTTTTGTGTCCCCCTCACAAAACAATGGCTCTAAAAGAAGAACAACAAACAACTAATTTACTCATTGGATTAGGGAAAAATGGCATTTTTGACTCTGTAGCCTTATACAGATGGTGAAAGTTATCCTAAAAGAAGATGCTATCTGTCATCTGTAAGAGGAATCAAAGAATGCATCCCCAAATGTGATTAAGCTGGATAACAGCCCCTCAATCAGCCTCTTTGCTTCGACACTGGGGAGATTTTTAAAGAAGGCAAAAGCAGGATAGCAGACAGGTCTAACGGTTATCTGCCTCCTCACACCGCCCTCAGCTCTCTTTACAAAACATCTCATATCACATTGGCTATTTGAACAGCAGCCATTAACGGTTTTATGAGGGAGGCACACAAACCCAAACCGGTCCAGACAAAGCCTTTAAAGCCACCAAACACAAACCACTCACTGATTTACTCGTTTCGGGACTCTGAGACTTTGGATACACGTTTATGGGATGAAAATTAGATTTTTTTTCATGAATTTTCCACGAGTGGAGACGGTTTTACCGGACGGATTATAAAAGACTGACAGCCGAAAAGAGAAAAGGCCTCACAGCCCTGATGGGGCGTTTGTGTACGGGATGAGGTCTTTTTGTTGTTGGAGTTGAACAACAGGGGAACAAAGAGCCCGTTGAGTCCGAACAGAGGTTCTGATCTGTGGTCTTTTTGTTTCCAGCCTGGCAGAACTCATGAGTTTGCCTCATTTGGTGAGGTCATGAAAAACGACTGGAGCAACTTACAGATGTGCACATTTCTCTCCTTTCTGGACATATTCAAGTATTGAGTAACAAAAATCAGCATTTTACCCTAAAAATGAGCCTCTACGTGATGAGTGAGGATGAAAACAGGTTTTTCCTCCTGGTTACATCACTGGCTTAAGCTTACTGTTAACACTACTGACACAAAAAGCAAAAGTCCCCTTCACGCTCGGCGAGTTTCAGGGGGCATTTCTGACTAATCTGCTGGCACTGAGTACCGTTGGGCTTGGGCCTGTTAGATCTAGAGTGGAGTTGTGGTCTGCGGGGGCGTGAGTCAGAGGACGGCAGCAGCACGGAGGCCTACTGGCTACCAACCACTCCTTTATTTACTCATTTACAGTTCACACCTACTCCTCAACGGCTCTGTCGCGTGGACATCCTGTTGGGCAACCGGGAAAAGCACAGAAGCTCAAACTGAGGTGGGATCCAGATTAAAACCCATATCTCAGGTTGTCCCTTCGTAAAGTTTTGCTTTCAATTATCACCAAACTCTTATCGTCTCTTAAAGGAAGCAGAAACTGTCATGATGAGGGGAAAAATTACGCTTATTGATGGAGTTTGGTCACAGTTCTTTCAGGTAAAGGAGTCTTTTCTGTTTGAGGAAGTTCCTAACAGGGAAATCATTTAGAACCAACCCGTTAAAAATCCTCTTACTCTCGGCTTTCTCTACAGTCTGTTTCAGAGGTAAAAATGATGAACCATCCTTCACGATTTTCTCTCAGAAGAATTCATAACAGCCACGACTTTTCTGTAAAATTCTCGCCTTTTTTTACATAAATGTAAATAAAGGTGAGGTCAATGTGTCAAAAATACAATAACTAAATAAGGCATACACTTAAAAACAAACATAATATGCAGGTTAAGGAACGGCAGACAGAAGTATTATTATCCATGTCTCATCTTATAATTATATAATACATATAAGCTCTGTATAAACGTGCAATACTTAAGGCTGACTAAAACTAAATCTGACATAAATCCAGACTTTAAGTGACTAAAAACATATGTTTAATGGAAACTAAATTCTTCATAAATAATAATAGAACAGTTGATGATGACTTGCAATTAATAATTTTTTTCCGTTTTCAGTTTAAACCAATTTAATTTTATGTTAATTTGCCTGAGTTTTAAATTCTGATTCATTTCAAATGGGGTTGCTTTCATTTCTGATCCAGCACGTATTTCTGCGTTATTTCCTTCTTTACGTTTTAGACATATTCATCTACTTCAAACCTTTTGACAGGCTCAGAGAAGTGGGTCTTTGCCAGGATTCTGGAGATCTTTATGATGAGCTAATCAGTTCTTTTAAACATTGTTGACAGCCTTCGTGAGGGCGCTGAGATTCTGATTGTTCCAATCTCTTATATCGACTCCACAGTTTTCTGGAGCTTTAGCGTGCACTTCCCTCTCCTAACGGAGTCGGAAAGCCAAGGCGGTGGCCGGCAGACGACCTGAACGGCCTCAAACCGTCGACTCAAACCGCAAACACTGAAGCTGAGCCTGGATTCTTGTCCTGATTGTTATCTCGAAAGACTCCGGCTGCCTCATCAGATTCTGGAGAAAACACGGTGGTGTTTTACTGTGTGGGGCACCAAACATTGTGCTTTTTCCCCTCCATCACAGCTGATGTTACTCACTCTCACACACACACGGTTTCACCTGGACATATTTGCTTGGGTCTCTAAAGAGTATTTTCCACAGTTTCTTTACCTGCTGCAGCATTTCCTCGGTGGACGCCAGCTTCTGCCGGTGCTCCTCCAAAGAACTCTCCAGGTCTCTGATCTTCTCCCCCTGAGCCTCCACCTGGTCCGTCAGCACGCTCACCTGGTGCGCACCAAAGACAGAGTCCCTCAGAGGACGTGCGGCCTCAGAGATGAATGAACCGATGCAGAAACACAACTGAGATGCCAAACGCTAATCGCGTTCCAGAGGGAAAAAAATCAACACATTCAACACAAGACAGAAAAGAAAGATTTCTCTCTAAGACTCAGCTTGGCTCCAAACCAGCAGGTATTTACTCAGTAGTGTGTCACTCAGGAATGCGTTTCGCTTTAACAATAATCACCCTGACAACACATTCCCCCACAAACACGCACACACACACACACACACACACACACTTCAATTCCTCTGGAATTCCATCAGCAGCTGATTCATCGTCATTTCCCTGATTTTTAGCCCTCACGTCTCACCTAAAATCACACCTAAAATCAACTTCCGGCCAACCCCTTTGGGTCACTGTTCATTAAGAAAGACATGGACTTTGCTGCTGACCGAGTGACCCAACCACCACTGACCCATGAACCGGTAAATGAATGAACCGGCTGGTGAATAAGTCACTTCTGAAATCACGTGTCCCGTCATGAATTGATCTAACCCATAATATCTATCTAATATTCTTTCATCCCGCCTAAAAAGTAAGTCAGAGGCAAAACACCGCCCAGCTCTGACTGCTGTGGAAAAGAAGTCGTACAGTTTCTTACCTTCACACAAACAGAAGTGAGAGTTCTCCGCAGAGCTACAAGGAAGTGAGCGTCTAACCGCAGTGACAGCGACAACACACACGCGGAGGAGGGACTACAACTCACCCCTCAAGTAGCGGCAGGTGAAGAGAAAGTAAGAAAAAAACACAAAAGGGGGCCAAACTGTCAGCGGCCAATGAAATCCTCCGCCAGGGGAGAGAGGGCCCGGTCACCTTGGAGTCCAACCAATCACAGCTGATGTCAGATGAGGAATGTATAACAAGTAGGCGTGTGTATGAAACGGGGGGTGTGTGTGTGTGTGTCTTATAATAGCTTTATGGAGTAGGGTCGTAAAGGAGGAGGGTGCAAATGGACATAGGGAGAAAAAACACAAACACGCGCAGGAGATCGGAGCACAAAACAAACAGAAAAACAGCCCGAGGGGGGGGCTGATAACAGCTAATTAAACCTGACCAGTTTAAAGACGGGCTGGGGAGGTCGGGTAGGCCTGAGTGGCTATTAGGCTGATCTGAGACGTGTAATCATCCGCTTTACGCGCGCAGCCCTGATGCTGCTGCTCAGGGCCAGGAAAAGTCGAGCTCACACGCTTCTGAAGACGTCCGGGCACGTTTTGTTATGTTTTATCACATTAAAACATCTCAAGTCCCTCAACCGCACACCAGAAGATACAACGTCTCCCCATCTGCTCACGGCCGGGATCCAAACAAACACGTCCACTCATGGCTTTTCAGAACTTATTACCATACTTTAGAAGAACTCAAATCAGTTAAAGTTACTCAAATACAGAGGAGGTTTTTTAAAAAGCATCTAAAGTAGCTTTAAAACAGACAAACATTCAAACGCATAATCAGTGAAATAAGGAGGGAAAGTCAGCGCTGACCTGGAGCACCAGAGACTCCTTGTCTCCTTCTAGTCGAAGCAGTCGCTCTTGATAGGTTTCATTGTTGGCTGGAGAACAGAGGTTCACCTGGACAAACCAGCAACAAAAAAACAAAACAGACAGGTTAACATAGAAGTGCCTCCAAGGTAGGGAATTTCAAATGATGACATTTAGAAATCAGCCTTCCTTTACATCCTAATAGGGATGAACATTTTTCTGGTGAGTTACCGACCAGGAGATCAGACTTATGTGGCGTTTTGCTAGCTAGGAGCAGGATGTTTTATGTTTCTGGTTGCCTTTGAACGCACCAAAACTGGGGTAGCAGGAAGTGAGGGGATCAGGTCAGTCAGAGATGAACTCGGATGACATATAGATCGTTTCATGGGTATTTCAGCCAAAAGCCCAAACA